CAGACACCCCCACCCCCCCCCCCCCCCCCCCCCCCAACATTTTCTCTCATAGTGCGAGTGTGTGTGTCTATCTCTAGAATTTCTCTCTCAAGAACTAGACAGTTTGTATGTCTTACTGAGCAATGTAGAGTACGGCTTCTTTTTCCAACAATGGCCAAGTGTCACACCAACAACATAGGCTCTTTACTCCTCGACCACACCTCTACCACCGCCACCGCCACTGGAACCCACCATTCCCGTCTATGGACAGCCTTCTCCCGCAAAATTTTTGATGCTGTCAGCTGTGGTGGCAGCTCACGGTATCGGCATTATGAAGATGACATTCCCTCCTTCACCACCAGCGCTACCAATGCCACCGCTAGTGTTTCAAGAGAGAAACAGAACAAGACAACGCTTAGTGTTACTAATAATTCAAGAAAAGAAGAAAACGGGAATCAGCAAAACTTGAATGTTGAAGGAGAGAAAGGAAAAGTTAAAGCAAGAAATGGGAAATCAGAGAAGTTGTCAGATCTGTTGAGTATGGCGGAGGCGGAGAGTGAGAGTGAGACCAGGAAGAAAGTTGAGGTTCTAGAAGGGATGAAAAGGGTTGTTAGAGAATTGCAAGTTGATGAAGGAGTGAAGAGAAGAGAAGCTGCATGTAATGTAAGGTTGTTGTGTAAAGAAGATGGGAAAGCAAGAGTTACTCTTTCTATGTTAGGAGCTATTCCTCCTCTTGTTGGAATGCTTGATTTGGAGGACTTTGAGTGTCAAATCGATGCACTTTATGCTTTGCTTAATCTTGGGATCGGAAATGATGTGTGAGTATCCCCATTTTTCTGGTCTTTTTTTCAAGATCAACGATTGTCTTTTTCAAAGTTAGATTTTGTGCTCTCAAATTTTGAAGTAATTTGGGGTTTCCATGGTTTATTTGATGTCAATTGAGGTCTCTTGAAGTGGGATTTTTGCTTTCTCAATTTGTGATTTTGTTTCAAGGAGAAGATGCTTTCTGTGTTTTGATTGATTTTGAAGAGTGAAGGTTTTTTGTTTTTTCGTTTTGGATTTCTATGGTTTATTTGATGTTAATTCGAAGTCCTTCTCTGATAGCATTCTCAGTTTGTACATTGTTTTGTTTTGAATGAAATTTTTTTTTAATGTTCTGGCTCATTTTGATAAAAGGAAAAGTCTTTTTCTATGTTCTGGACGTTTTAAAGAATAATTTGAAGCCACTGTATCCTTTAGTTATACATGACTGAATTACGTGGATTAATTTGCTTTTTAGATCAAGAATGTAGTGTCATTTTCTTTCGTTTGTTGTTTTCTGTTTTTTTTTTTTAATTATTATTAACATGTTATATGATTTGATTTTGACAAGTCATCTTCCATGTTATTTTCTTGAAACAGTTTTTGCATTTAATTTTACACTAATGTGGACTAAATATGGTTCTGTTAACAAAATTTTGCAGGAACAAAGCTGCCATTGTTAAAGCAGGAGCTGTTCACAAGATGCTAAAGATCATAGAATCTCCAAATGCTGCAAATCCATCTGTATCTGAAGTGATAGTGGCGAATTTTCTTGGGTTGAGTGCATTGGATTCCAATAAACCGATCATCGGCTCATCGGGTGCAATCCCCTTCTTGGTGAATTCCCTCAAGGATTTGGATCACAAAAATAGGTCCCAAGCACAACAAGATGCTCTTAGAGCTCTGTACAATCTTTCGATATCCCCATCAAACATCTCATTTATTCTAGAAACAGATTTGATCTCATTTCTGATGGGTTTGCTGGGAGACATGGAAGTAAGTGAAAGAGTTCTTTCAATTTTGAGCAATGCAGTATCAACCCCGGAAGGTAGAAAGGCAATTAGCGCCATGCCAGATGCTTTCCCTATTTTGGTTGATGTCTTGAATTGGACCGATTCACCAGGTTGCCAAGAGAAGGCATCTTACATATTGATGGTGATGGCACACAAAGCATATGGAGATAGACAGGCCATGATTGAGGCAGGAATCGTATCATCCTTGCTTGAATTAACGCTTTTGGGTAGTACGTTGGCGCAGAAGAGGGCGTCAAGGATCTTGGAATGTTTGAGGGTTGATAAAGGGAAACAAGTTTCGGGGAATTATGGTGGCAATATGGGTGCAGCAGTATCTGCTCCTATTTATGGAACTCCATCATCTTCTTCAAACCCCAACCTCGTTTCAAAGGAGTGTCTAGAGGAGACAGAAGATATGATGAGCGAGGAAAAGAAAGCTGTGAAACAATTAGTCCAGCAGAGTTTGCAGAACAATATGAGGAGAATCGTCAAGAGGGCCAATTTGCCGCAAGATTTTGTTCCATCAGAACATTTCAAGTCCCTCACATCAAGTTCAACCTCCAAGAGTTTACCATTTTGAGGACATTGGATCAATCACTAAAGGATTGAAGAGGAGCAACTTGAAGTTAGTGTTTCTTTTCATTGTCTTAGAACCTTCTATTCTCCTAGTGGCATTAGTAATGTATGAAATACTACCATATGTTGAAATTTACTATATAGTTAATCAGAAACTTAGTAAAAAAGTTCAGTTTTTGGTGCTTGGATGAGTTACAAATCCTTCCATTGAGATCTACTTTGACTTTTAAGTCTGTTCGCGGAATGCTTATGATATAATAATTAAAAACAACCATGAAATGGTGAGATCTTTTTCCTACAGTTGCTTCCTGTCAGTAGCATAGCATGACCTGGAAATTTGGAAAAATCAGAGGGATGATTTTGTCATTGCCTACTAGATAGACATTGTTATGGAGAATCCCCACAATCAAGGGGGGTCATTTTCAACCCTTGCAGTACATTTTTGTCCACCCTTCTGGCCCCTTGCCCTCATTTTTATATTCCCACCATGTTACATCTGTCTTGAAAGAGGGGTCAGTGATATTCTTTTGCACATATTTATGGACTGGCTATTCACTGCCTATTCGAATCTGTCATCTTGTTAATCAGTCATGTTTTTCTATTCAAGGCCTAAACAATAATCTTTGGACTTACAGAATTGATTGAATTTTTTACTTCTTGTGAGATCTAGGAGAGTAATCCCTTCTTTCATTTGATTAGTATTTTTCACTTGCTGCGCAACATGTGCATTGACCTGGTTTGCTGATATATTTTACAGGCCAGCAGAGGAAGAAGAATCTGAGATTAGCTGTACTGCGTGTAGCAGCTGTGCAACTTTGCTCCCCACAAGGTTCATATTTTACATCATATTGCATGGTGGGGTATGGTCATTTTGTAATCTTTTATGCTATACCTTATCATTTCCCTGTCCTGCAGCTTTTCTTGTTGGCCTGCTTTGTTGTAAATATATTCTGCTGTAATATTAGCACTTATCTGTACAATCTTGGATAACTTCTTCTATGTATGCAAGTACTCCACAGCAAGTGAGTTGAAACTTCAAACTGAATTTTTCTCATAAGCCCATAAAATTCTAGGGAACTGCCGATGTCCATAGGCCGGATGTGATGGACATCGTCGGCGGATTAGATTTGGGTCCATCCTATGGAGTGCTTTGCATCATTATGGAATTATTGTCTCCAGTTACACCTCTTGCAACCTGATTACACATTGGAAAAAAGTTCACATTTGGCACGCTTCGTTTTCCCGATTTACTGTCATCAATGAAGGTTATTGGAAGCAGTAGCTTCTTGGTGAATGAATCAAGGGCAACTAATTCATTTTTTTCTTATATGACGCTGACTGCCGAGGAGATGGTATAGATCATAAACTATGTTGTGCATCTCCATAATTTGGGCAGGGCCCATTTTCTTAATGGTAAAAGAGCCAGAGGATGCGTTGCTGGAGAAGATGGAGACAATAAACTACATTAGGTGTGTAGCCAATACAGTTTATGGGAAAAAGGACCGCTACTTGTATCGTAGCTCTCCTCTTATGAGGTGGTCAATTTTAGGAAAGCGGCTGCTGCTTCCACTGAATACAAGAGGTCTAGCTACCATAACGATCCCTTTATAACTGAGAAAGATACAGGTGATTGTTGAGAGTTATGGTACCGGGCAGGTTTGTGAGTGAGGTCTAGTCGTGTATTTACTGATGCCTGCCTCAACAGGTAGATTTGCAGCTTCTTATGACAGATACAGTCACAATGGCCCATTATGATTTATCTCAACAACTGGCCAGAAGAATTAAATGCCACTATACTCCATCCGCCATTAAATTAATTTACAGATTTAAATAAATTAGGGTAGATCTCCAAGAAATAACTCTTCTCCTTATCTTACACATGAATCCCTTGCCTATACAGCAGTAAATTAGGCTATGACAAAAAGAACAGTCTCCACCAGTGAAGGGAATCCCCAAAAAAAAAAAAAAAAAGGAGTAAAGGGGGAGTGGGGCTAATTGCTTTCTTCACTCACCGGTGGCTAGTCTGACAAAAAGATGACTTTGCCCTAATCATGCAAAAAGGGTGAAAAAGATGAACTTGCTGCTTAGTGCTTTTGGGGTATGGGAAGTCTGGTGATTAACCTGGTCAAATGCAATGCAAGCAGCGTTGTAGCGGTAGGATGCCGTCTGGCCTACCATGGAGTCTTTTAGCATCCTAGCAAAGAAAAGAGCCCATCCTCTTAAATTGATGTTTCTAACTTCTTCCAACTAGAAGGTTCTGCGATCTGACAACAAATGTCCTGGCATTGGTTCTGTAAACTTAAAATCAAAAGAAAAAACAAAATATAGGAAGATTCGTTGCTCATTTTAAAAAAAAATTGATTTTTTTGTTTAAAATGATTTTTTATTTTTAAATTTAAAAATTAATTTTAAAAAATAAAAAAACATTATTTTAATATATTTTTAAATAAAAAATATTTTAAAAAACAACTCTCGCCGAAATATTAAACTTTATCTTTGATTATACTTAGCAGTGTTGTGATTATATTTGAATGTTTTTTAGCGATTAATAAACACTGTAATTTTGTAGTATGTGTTTCATTAAAATCTTTCTTTTGAAATAATGCTTAAAAAATTTATCAATTAATAAACACTGTAATTTTGTATGTGTTTCATTAAAATCTCTCTTTTGAAATAATGCTTAAAAAATTTATTATTTATAATTTTTTAAAATTTATTTTTTCAATATATAATCATAAAATCACCATAATTATTAGGTAGTGTTATAAATTATAGGGACAATTACTTTTTAAAATATTTTTTAAAAAAAATATATTAAAAAAAAATTTTAAAAAAAATTATTTTTGATATAACACATCAAAACAATCCAAAATTATAAAAATATAATCTTTTTTAATTAAATTAATTTTTATATTTATATGAATTAATGTATTTTAGTATTTTTATATCATATGTTAATATTAAAAATAATTTTTTTACTCTTCACAACGACTTAATTTAGAAAATTTATGATATGGAGTTAGACCTGCTAGTTGATTCAAAAAATATATTCACTCAATATAACTTGACCGAAATAAATTTTTAATTATTTAATTGATTATTAAATCCAATCTAATAAACATCAATTTTTTTACATAAAAAATGAAATAGTATCATTTAAGTTAATCTACTGAATCTAATCTTATAAACACCAATATTTTTATTTTATTTAAAAAAAATAATGTCATTCAATTCAAATTCAAGTTAATCCAAGGATCCAATGGAGCTTTTTAAGAGTTTGTTATTAGACCAAAGTCTTGCAGCTATGAAATACACCTTTCCTTCCAAGCCAGTAAGGGTTTAACCACAAGCAGCCAGTTAACCTGGTCATGTATTCCAACCATTGAATCGGTGGGTTTTGATGGTACTAATGAATGAGATGTTTATTTTTATAATTAAAAAGTGTTTTTTTAAATTAAATTAATTTTTATATTTATATGAATTAATGTATTTTAGTATTTGTATACGATCTGTTAATATTAAAAATAATTTTTTTAAAATTTATATCATATGTTAATATTAAAAATAATTTTTTTAAAATAAAAAATATTATTTTCATTTATTTTTAAATAAAAATAATTTAAAAAACAATTAAAATCACATCTCCAAAAATTATAATGCAAGAATGTCCATCACTTTAGCTGGAGATCATAAATCAAGACTATCAAGTGAGAAAGGACGACTGTCCTTGCAGAGAACGTACCCCATAGAGGGACCCTTCCCGCTCATCCTGGTGAAATACATGTGATCTGTCAATTTGCTGATCAAACCGTCCGATTTGGTGGGCCTAGAAATGCTTAGATCAAGGAGAGAGATGGTGGTTGCTTTCAGGCCACGGTCTGCGTTTCAAGGGTGGTTGCATCACCGTCCCACAGCAGAGCATTCTGTGTCAGTGCTCCTGTCCGACACCGACAGGCATTTAACCTTCTACACACACACACACACATTTAAATACTTGTTTCACTTTTAAAAAATATTTTTAATTAAAAAATCTTTTTTTTCAATCTTATTTTTAAAGCCTTTCTTATTCAATCTCCCAAACTTCTCTAATTTTCCAATTCAAACAAGCTCGATCTAATATCTGCACGACTTAAACCACCTAATTTATTAAAAAAAAACTTGTAATGTGACATTAAATTTTTATTCTTTTATGGGTTTTTTCCTTGATAAATGAGGTTAGGTTGAGTCTCGTCCGGGTGTGTGTTAATTAATTTAGATAAAAATATCTAAGAGTAAGAACAAATTGGGGTAATTCTTCTTTTTACCTCATGGTCTTTTTTGAAATATAATGTAAGGGTAATAATAGCCAAGAACATGGCAATATCAAACTCCTATATATATATATATATATATATATATACATGTCACCATTACAGCATGGCATGCCCGGCGAAAGTACCATAAATTCTTGGATAACGGGAAAAGAAGAAGAAAGAATCTTATGCTCATGGATTGACAAGGGTCTAACTTCAACACCAATCTTTAAAACATTAAAACTCAAAAAAGCATGCAAGATGCAAAGATTTTCACCAGGCAAAATGCTCTAGCTTCACAAGGTGAAATGGTGTAGTGATCGGTCCATCAACAGGTAATAGCCGATTTGCTTCGTGTAAACATGCACTCCTGCCCATTCACAAAGGGTTCAAGCAGATCCCATGTATCCATATGTGGGATAGGGGCATCACTGTATTGGGCATTTTTACTTCCCAGACAAGCTTGAATCAGTGCAGACGGCACGCGCAAATTAAGATCTTTGGAAATGTACCTCAAGCTCTACTAAATCGTAAATTGCATTTCTTCTAATTTAGCATTACCTCCTTAATCTGTAAATTTCAAAGGCATTTAAATTGCTTGTGTATTCAGAAACAAATTAAAAAAGAAGAAGCTAAATTAGTGTTTCTTCAGATACAAAAGGCTTCATGCTTTCATGCAAAGCATATTTAATCAGTTTTTGGTGTCGTATATTTCCTCATTTAATGGAACATCTACAGCTAATGTAAGAACAGGCACCAGCCACCAATGATATCAAGACCCAGGTTGTTGTTTTTGCAAAGCCAATCCACAATCATGTTTACTTGCTTTCGGTAACAGGGAGGTATACGCCTTCTGCTGCCAGCCAAACATTGTCAGCACGCTTTTCTCGGACACCGCACACCTATATTAGCACATAGATCAGGAAGTATACATAAGAATGAAGTACTAAAACTTTAAAAAGCAGCATGATCTCTGTAAAATGTCCTCTGCTGCTGAAAAACAAAACACCACTATGAGTATCTGGCAAAGTTTATTTCTCCTTTTTCATAGATAAATTAGTCACCACCCCAAGAAGCCCGTTAGGATTTTAGGTCAGTCAAGTTAACCAGACACGTATGGTTCCAGGGCTGTTGTACGGGAAAAAAAATAACAGCTAGGTGCAAACTTAAAGTCTCTAAAGACAAGATTCAAAAATGTTACTAGTGCCATGTGCAATGCTTTTTATTACCTCCTGCTGCCCCCCAGCAATTCGTTGGTATCTCTTGTCATGACTATGCAAGTAGCCATTGGTGTCAACATGGTGAAGACGAATCCTTTGGTCTTGCTTCCATGTCTTTCCACTCCCTTCAATCATAAGCCTGGAAAAGGAAGGTAGCATGAGTTTCCAGACGAAGAAGCTCAAGGCATAAGAAAAACTTGAAAGAATGTTATATAGGTTCACCTCCAGTAATCTCCAGTATCAGATTCATTCTCTCCCCCAAAGCAACTAACCTACACCAAGCAAAGTGAGTGGATTGTGTCATTCATACAATATACATCTTTAACAGCCCATTAAGTTATTTAAGGTCACTGAAGTCAATTTACTATTACACCACACAGTGATTAACATCAATACTTCTTCATTAAGCCATTTAACTACGGAATATTCAATGCGTTTTTCTCCTCAGGACAGAAACTGAAAGTCAATGTCAGTGTTCAGGCCAATGAAATCTTTCATCTGAAAAGGC